AAGTAACAGAAAAAAAAAAAAAAAAAGAAAAAGAAAAAATTGGTCACCCAAAAGGCCTCGTTATTTTTGGGCGTATTGAAAACAAAAATTTTGCAGGCTCCTGCTCCCCCCTGGACCCCCTAAGGTAGTGTAACCGCGATTGGCCCCACATTCCACCCCTGACTGTGTATCATTCCGAGGGTTCCTTCCCCCGGACCCCCTAAGGTAGTGTTACCGCGATTGGCCCCACATTCCACACCTGACTGTATCATCCCGATTTTAATTTCGATTTTTACTCCAGTCATTGGATTAAACAACTATGCCAATCTCTATAACAATACTTGTGGCCAAAACCACAGGCTTGCATTGCTTACAACCATGGTGGTATATAACAAAAACTACTTAAATTTTTATGCACAAAACCACAGACAAACTCAGAATTACTTTCAATACTTAACACACAGAACCATAGCCAAACTTTGAATAGCTTATGATAATACTTAACACACAAAAGCACTTTTAAAAATCCCAAACCCATTTTCTAATTAAATGGGCCCATAACGATCTAGAATAAGAATCTTTATTTCCACGTCATACCTAGTACATAATACAGTATATATAATAGGCACAATATCGCCAAGATTTGAGTGGGGAGGCCAAATAAGTTAGTAGTGAAATGCACAACTACCTATAAGCTATAGCCCTCTCCCCCTCCCACAAGTACAGAAATCAAATTACATAAGGTAATAATTAAAAATATGATATATGAAATAATAATAATAATAATAACAACAATAACCATATCAATAACAACGAAAAAAAAAATAACAATAATATCAATAACAAAGCAATGTCATGATAATAATAAGTATAAATGTCCAGGTAAAAGTATTATGCATGTACAATGAATCATTAGTATTTTTAGAGATTAAGGGTTAATTTTTTGTTGTTCAACATAAACTGATTAAATATTTGCATAATGAAACTTAAACAAACATTTCCAATATTAGTGGCTTTTATTCAAAATCCTAAAGACATGTCTGTATTTTTGCTTTAGATATCTAGGCTACAAGGGATGCACTTTGACGTTAGCAGCTCTTTATGCCCCACAACCACTCAAGAACCTGTCTGAGAGTGAGATACGGATCAACGTTAGTGGTAACGGTGCTCCCCCAGCCTTCCACGGCACCAACCATTACAATGTAAATATTCATACTAACTTAAATTCATTATTTAAATTGCAGTAACAAATTAAAGACGAGAAAAACAACATATTTAAAGTAAACAACTTTAAACAGAAGAAAAATCCTGTTGGTATTTATTTGGATTTCACCAAATAATAGAAAATACATGTATTTATCTTTATGACATATTTGATGAATATTGATCAATTACACACTTGGAAATCTGCTAGAAAAGTATAATCAAGGAAAGAATGTTATAGAAGATTGTCTTCTGGTGTACATCATTATGCAAGTATGCTAACTAGGTACACTATTATGCAAGTACTGTATGCTAACTAGGTTACAAATCTCAGTACAGTCTTCTGAAAATCATTGGATCATGCTTATATGTGCTATCCTTAGTTATGATTTATGCTGTGCCATTTTATCTATTCTATTGTGCATGTGTATAATTTTTACTCCAAGTGCATAAGTCCGGCAGGTCAGGCGGCCACCTTTTAACATTTTGCTGTGATAAATAGTATGTTGAAATAATGATTTTTATAATAAAGGAAAATTTTTTAAAATTCTCGTACATTTTTACTTATCAGTGACAGATTTTTTAAATCAATATTAGATAGTAAATGTTCAGCCATGTACTTCGATGTTAATACAGTACTAGATTAGTTACGGTAGGGAAATGGCGGCCAAAATTCAATGACAGTCAAATAGCCTATTTGTCTGTAAGAGTCTGAAATCCCAGGTGTTACATAATTCGATTTAAAAAAAAGAATACCAAAATCTAAATTTGATACTATCCAATTATGGATACTTCGAAAATTGGTTTTGAAGTTTGAGAGTGCTATTTCTGAGCACCTAGAAGTGATAAATTCTAAAAAATCACAACCTCAACCACGAATGGGGCTGAGATTGGTGTGGACCCTCCTGTCTGACCAATACCTAAATACTTCCACCACTGCTGCGGTGTACTTCCTAGATCACCACCAGAAGGAAATAAGTCTTCCCCATAGTAACGAAGAAATCCAAATCCAAATTGTATAACACTGACATTGTACCTTCATTATACAGATTGGTTTATTTGTGATAATTGTCCACATTCTAACAACTCCCCTTTTTTTTTGTATTATATATTCTATGTTATATAATCTAATGGTCTGAATTCTACATCTTTATACAGAATATCCATTCACCTGGGAATCATGCTGTCATGTACGGAAAGCCTCATTTCAGAGATGAAAGCCAGAGCTTGGATACAGAAGAGGAAGAGCCACCCCCATACCCTAGGACACCTTTACGTCAAGATTTCCAGCACTTACGTGAAATGGCACAATTAACTCAACCACTTGCCAGTCGTCAGGATGGACGTAGCGGTGATAAAACGCCCCCGATGTATGATTATAACCCCATTGAAAGCCTGCAGAGCCCATCGTCTCGTCGACAACAAAAAGACAGGATGGAACAGCCTTCTGAATATGATTATCACATGGAAAAAAATAGAGGACATGCTTTACCACCAGTAGAAATGGGATCAGATCCCAACTCTGGAAAACCGTCAGGACGTCGCCAGCAAATACAACTCGAACAATCGCGAGTACGCCGTCCAATTTCGTTTGTGACGGCGCTTGAAATGAGCCGTGAAGCCGAGGATATGCAGAAGGCACAGTCGCCGACAAAACAGTCCACATCAATGAAGCCCAAGGCCAATGGACGTAGCCAAAATTGGCGTGGTAACAGGGAACCAAAACCTGGCCAGGCTTACCGTATGCAAGACTCCACCTCTCCACATATGGGCTCACAGACTTTTGAAGTCTCTGTATAAAATCCAGTCTGGACCAAAACACAATGGTGTTGTCAAAAACCTGTGAAAATATATCTTATTTTTGCTCGGAGATATAATAATATTTGAAAGTAAATCATGCAATATAAATAAAACAAAGAGTATAAGAAGAGGTTGTAAAAATGTTGATGTATGTAAGTCCATCCCTCCTTTTAACACCCTAGTACAGTGGGAGACATACAGAATATAGTGCAAGGCAGTTTAGTATGTTGATGCAAGAAGACATGGAATTTTGTGGCTTGGCACATAAGCAAGATATATTTGCAATTCTAGAAGCATATAGGTGAATAGATGATTACTGGCTAGTTCCAAGAGGTATTATTTGTGAATCTATGCTATGGTGTGGTATGCATTTGGTATACTAGGCCATGGCTAGTATGTTTATATAAGAGTGGATTCATTTCAGTCAGTTTTTGACCTGATATAAAAATATAACATAAAAGCCAACGTCTACATTTCGAGATAATGAGCTCAGCATTTGTGATGGTAATCCCATTTGGATTTTGTTTTCATTCTATTTATAAATTTTAATGCTGTGTTATTGTTTCTAGTGAATATTACATGTACATTGTAAAAGATTTTACCCCTTTCCTCTCTACGGGTATATAATTAGCAAATAGCTAATTTATCTTTAGAAATACCTTTCGGAAATTTGTCTTCATTAACATCTTGTTGTATTTTCAATTGTAAATTCAAAAAATACCTATTTGTTTCCAAGTCTTCAATATGTTTATTTATCATAATGACTGTACAAACATTACTAAATGAAAAATTTCTGACTTCCCCACCCCCTACCAAGACATTTCTTATTGTGTACCTACTTTCACATCAACATCGACACCTCCCCCCCCCCCTTCTGTTATTATGTCATTGTGGCGTATGATTGAGGGGGGTATTGTAAATAGTAAAGCTAGACAGACTCTTTGTACCTGGTGATCAGTGAAAGCAGCATTTTGGTTGATTCACAGTTTGATATGATGGAACACTTCCTGGTGAAGTTGTGTTATTTGTATGATAGCAAAATTTAGTGTACTGTACTGCAGACATATAATATTGATAAGCAATTAATTTATTTTTATTTAAACCTAATATGGAGCATAAACTTAATTGATAAGATTAATGTTGGTATAGTTAGTGTTCTAATCTGTATCATAACAAACCATATATTAGCACTGTTAAATTTTACTTAGTTTATAAGAGGTGTCACCCCCTCCTCTTCCCCCCCCCCTCTTATATCGCCATAGAGTGTTTAATTATTGTTATCATATGGTGCTTAAGAAGTAGAATGTCCAGTACACACTGAACATCTACAGTGTACATTTATCATTCTATGACCCTCAATAATAATTCACCATAATTTTCCAATTTACCTCCTGGAAAAAAATGTTTTAATTAAATCAAAAAGCTGAATTTTATAATACAAATCAAGTCTCAAACAGTGCTTATATTGTGTGTTCGTGTGTCTATTCAGTTCATGTTTAGAGACCTTTTTCTAATATGTTCATTTTACAGTCATTTATTTGTAAGAATTTTGTAGATTCATTGCATTGTAAGCATCTTAATATTTTTTGTCATCACCTTGCTAGTAGTATTTTTGTATTTTATTATGACTGTTTTATGATTGTAATTATGTAAAAACAATTGTATTTTTCCCTCTTATTTGTTGGATTATTACTGTTAGTAAGCATTTCAGGGGATTGATAGCTGCACAACAGTATACCACTTAGATTTATTATTGTTAAATGTGAAGATGAATAATGTTAATAATTAATATTGTTATTGATTGTTTACCACAACACATGATGAAATAGTAATTAGCCATGCCAAGAATTGGAATATATAGCATCCAACTTTAAAAAAATATGCAGGTTGGTTAACAAGACTTTCAGCTCTGAAATCACAGGTATGTGTTGCATAAAAAAAACAATATACTTGTAATAGTATGATGGTAAACAAATCACATTAAAAACAGGTGGCAGCATTTCAAGCTTTGTCTACACTATCAGGATGTGACATATTTGTGTGATATAACGATATATAGGCATGATGATTCAAATCACAGGTGTGTCACATTAGAATTGATATTAATGTGCACGTACCTTAGGTGTCTACTACTTATTCTACAGAGGCTACGCATATTAACAAATTATATTTTACTGTATTATTATGCAAAATATCGAGTCCGTTGTTACATAAAAATTGATCAAATTATTTTCTATCTTGTATATTTTTGCGACTGTTTATGCCATAAGATGGTTATAGTATTTGACATCAGCTTTACCTCTCTGTCTGCATTGTTATTTGACATTTTTTTTAAAAGCATGAATTTGAGAATTAAAGGGTGCTGGGCTATAGAAACCTACATCTCCCACCCTCAATTCAATATAAACTTGATATAAAGATTGATATAAAAAAAAATGTTTGCCTTATTATGGAGATAGACAAAAATACTACAGAAATTTATCATAGGCCTATATAAATAGGATGTAAAGTCCAGAACAAATGACTTTTCTATCGGGATCTTTGGTTACATTGTACCTGGACCTATGTATTATACGCTTTACAAATCTAACTTATTATTATTGTGATTGATAAATTATTGTGAAATCTAAGAAAAACTGGCCCATATATCTACATCCTCTCTCGTTTGTTTGAAATTCCACAGCTGTTATTATCCTGTACCTGTAATTTAAGCAATCCATATTTGCACACAAGACAGATTATTATGTGCTATGGATATTTGAAGACATGGTTACTGTAATGCATTTTACTTGAGAAATCTGCAGTTGTTGAACCTTAATTGGTGCTCCGGCCATTTTTGTTTTATTGTTTGTTTTTCCATTATCAATACTTCTGTATTTTTATTTTGTTCAAAACTGTGGTGCAAAATATCAATATAAAATATAAAATGTAATTCATATTTCAGTATATTTAATGAAATTACAAAGATCAACATTTTTTGCAACAATTTGTAAGTTTTCAACTTGTAACAAGTTAAATGAAGTGTGTCTATACAATTACAATTTTTCAGTTTGCCCAATTAACCTTAAGCTGAGCACTTACTGCGGCCAGTGCGATTCCATGGGGAACGCAACTCCACGTTTTTAATGACGATCTGTTCAGACTGCCACCGACAATCGGAATGCGTCGTCTAACGCTCGCAGGGAAAGGAGTTGGATTCGTTGGCCGACACCATCGTGCGACACAGTGTGTGTCCGGCTTTATAGTTATTATTAGCCAAAATATTGCCATACCTAACTCATTTTGTTATATGTCAGTTTTTTCATTATTGCCACAGTGTGGTTCTAATAAAACAAAAGCCTAATATGTAGAATGATCTGTCAAGCAATAGAATTAATGAATATTTATGACTTGAATTTGACCTGACCTTTACCACAATTCTACCAATGGAATATATGGTTGTTGTCTGTGATGTAGTGTGCTTACTAAATGATTTACCCATCACTACCACCTGAAACTCGCGGTTCTTTCATCCAACAGCGCATGGCTATCGTGTGATTTATCCCTTAACTGGATACTGGAAATCCCATAGCATTTATTTCAGAGTGGTGTGCAGAGGCAAAAATTATGTTTGGTGTTGTAGTTACTCGAGAATGGCACTTATTGGATCATTTGCGACTTGCTAAGTTGTTTTTAGTCAATCTTGGAATTTCTGTTATCAATAAAAGAAGCTATAGTAATCGCCAAGCTAAGACTTCTTTCTAAAGCTTGTTTTCCATACAATCACTACACACTATCCACGACAGCTTTTCGTGATGCTGAATCGGGGAGCCTTCCTACGCAGTACAATGATTTCACTGAAAACACTGTAGTGATTTTATGGAAACTAGGCTTAGGTTGAGAAAAGCTTTAAAGAAATTAACTTATTTAGAAGATGGGTAAAAAATGCTGTGTATCAAAATGAATAAAATAACTACTTAAAGTGCATTATGAGCATGGAATCATATTTTTAATGTAGGAGGAACTATCTTGGGGTTATTGTGTCCACACTAACAGAGTCAGGCTTTTTGTCACAAAATATTTTTGATATGCGTATGTGTGGGCTGTTAATTGTTACATAAAATTGTGGACAGGAGTGTCACCACTGCACTGATCTCTACTATAATAGCTGGATTGCTCATTTGATGGTTTTAGTGAAGCCACCAACGCCATGTTTAGGGGCATAAGTGACGTACCAGTTTCGACAAGTGTCTTTTGGCATTTGTTAAAGCTATTGTTGGAAATAATGATTCTTGCAATACTTTAATAATAAAAAATCTTTTACATTAAATTTAAATTTATTATTGAAAAGTATTTAACAATAATTTAAACAAATGCCAAAAGAAACTTGTACAACCTGGTAGGTCAGTTAGGCCAGCCCAACATGGCTTCGGTGGCTTCACATTTTTCTGTACAATGATTGGCCGATGAGCAATCCAGCTATTATAGATCATATTAGAAATCAGTGAGTTTCACAGGTAATCATTGCTATATTTGGTTGTAATATCCATGTGATGTAAAATAAGCACTAATTTTAATAATTAATAATAATTAAAAATAAATTAAAATAAAAGTATTTGTCACAATCCAATTCCGTTTTTTACCCATCTTAGTTTTTGCCTTACACAATTTTTTATGGAAACTTTTAATTAACTTAGTGAATGGATAGCATTTATTTTACAATAATTTCATATGGGCATATCAGTATTTATAATATATGTAAACTGATTTTCATTACTGCAGGCCTCTTAGCTTTATTTATTCATACAATGTGGCCTTTTTGTAGTGTTTGCTTATTAATTTTGATATGTAATTGTAAAAATACACTTTTACCAAAATGCACGGCAATTAATTAATTTTACATATAGGAGATGTAATTATTTATGCTCAACCTGCTGAGAAATAAATGTATCTTATAACAAAAAAGGTAGATAATTATTGAAGTGTAAAATGTGTTGTACGTAAAGACATGTTGGCTTTTACCAAACATCATCATATGTTGTTCTTGTTGTGGGCAGTTGTTGATTGTTGACATACTGTTTATTTTATGTTCATGACTGTAGTACATTTCAAAATTTAAAAAAAATAAAATAAATATTCAAGTTATTATAGTAATAAAAGGATAATACTAAAGACATCCGCTTATTATTAATTTCCTTGGGAGTTTAAAATTCAGGCCCATCCACAGCTTTCCATTGTGTGATTGGGCTCTGCTGCCTTTTGGCAAACTTGGCATGTTCACATATTGCTACATTGCGAGTGCCTTTTGTTGACAAGTTAGAAATTCAGTCAGTATGATGGGATTAATCCTGTCAACCTTGTTTAAAATGCAAACATCCTGAGCAATATCCGAATTGTGTCTCTCTGATTGGTGTGTGCCAGAATAACTTGCTGATTAAGTCTGATTAACACACCAACTAAGTAAATTTCCAAGTTCATTCAGCTTTCTGGTGGCCAGGTATTAGCTAATTCAACATGCTTCGACTCTGGTAACCATTCCTTATATGCAGCTATAAGATCTAAAACAGAAAAAAAAAAAATAAATAAAAAAAATATTTTTTCTTTTTTCTCTATATAAGCAACTGCTCACCAGTCCGCACATTAAACAGAGGTTACCTCTATTCAGCATTTAACGCTTCATGTATGCACCTTTCAGATGAGGAATTTTGTTGACACTATTAAAACATGATTAAATCATGCTTAAATACAGTACACAGTGGCGTACATTATTATATGGGGTTTTCAGCAAGGGTTCATAATTGCCTTTAATTACTACCACTAACAGAAAAAAAATCAATTAAATTTGGTTCCGTAGAACACATCGTTAACCGACCACGCCATACGACGTGTCCTATTAGTGGTAATGGCAGTAATGTACAGTCCTTGCTGAAACCTCTGTTTTGTTGGTGTATTGGGGGCACCCTGGGGTTGAATATAAAAAAGGGCAATGAAAGTTTGTTGGAAATCACCTCAAGTTTATGTAACAAGTTCTGATAACAACAAGAACAATAAGAAGTAAGGTTCAGAGGTTCGCCTGCGCCGACCTAAATAGGCTTCTGATATGAGAATACTGCAGAAACTACATCACTGTACTTGGCATGCTCGTCAAATGAAATGAACTGAAATGAACCTTAACACATTCGATTTTGCAGAAAAACTCCACTACTGAGTAGGTATGCGCAAGTGCAGTATACTCAAAAACCACTACTAACATGCGGAACATTTACTATGGCCAATTTAAGCAGATTTAAAACAACTTACAGTTACTGTCTTCTTGCCAGGCCTGTGTTAGAGTCTCTTTGGAGTCTACTCTCTTGATTGCTAGAGTGTTGAGTAATGTCTGGGTCCTTGGTTGTAACCTAACAACAACATCGGTAGAAAGTAATTGTTATAATATGCAATCTCCATATTAACTTGTGTCTGCTACTTTAAGAATTTTTATCCAATCCAGTACTGTAACAATAGGAAAATATATTAGAGAGTGATACATACCTGGCCCAGGTTTTCACCATAGTGCTTGGAGGGGATAGTAAGCAAGATGTGTACTTCTTAAGTCCACTGAACACCTGAAACAAATGTAACTTAAATCAGCTTTCACAACTCCCATGATGTAAGCATTTTAAACATATTTATGTGCTTTCACTGCTGCCTGTCTTCTCTGTCTGTCTGTTTGCAAGATTCAGCAGAAACTAATGAATGGATCATCATAACATTTAGTCGAATGGTACATAATAATCGAAGAAAGACACCTTTCAATTTGTGTTGTTTCCCAGGTTCTGTTTAACAACCTCATGAGGAACCATGTTTCTTCAGACTGTACCCTAAATTGCACATGCATATAACAATATAGACCAATAGTTATTAACCAACATTGCTGCTACCATAACCCATATTATTCTTGCATATTTATCTAACTTTACACACCTGGCCTTCCAAGAGAAATCTAGCAAACCACTTGAATCGATCCGGTGATGGTGGGAACGCTAGCTCCTGGCAAGGAAGTTGCCATGCATTTCGACCTAGAATGTTGAAACGGTTAAGAAAAAGGCTCATTTCACTGTCGGTGAATAAATACAATGTAAACATTTGTGGTAAAGACCGGCTAAATCAGTCCTCGCAAAAAATGGATTTTTAGTTATTAATACAGGGTTAAGCAGTAAAATGAATGTTATAAAATTGTTAAATCATTTAAATCCGACGTGAAGTTACAGGAGTTTAAACAAGAACAGTATTTTTTAAAAGTTTATGATTTTGAGGAATTCTCGGGCAGAGACCATAAAAAAATGTTATCAAAAGTAGGGGAAAAAAAACAACATTGCATGATGATAAAGTTTAGTTTAGTGCAATAAAATAGATTTCGAAAATTTTGACATTTCAATATATTTTGGCCATTTCTCAGAAACATGATTTGCGATTAGTGACTGGTTTGGCTTGTCTTTGCCACATTTGCAAACATTATAATACAGCACAGGATTGCTCATTTAAAAAGATCAAAGAAATTATCAATTTACAATGTAACACATATAAAACCAATACAATTTTTGAAAGCAGAAAAATTAAAATGACTATCATAAAAAAAACCAAAATACAACATATAGTTACAAAACTGATTCAGTATAAATCAGTAAACATGATTTCTTTGATTTTACTTGTGATATAACCATACCAAATGTTGCTGTCATGTGACACCGTACAGTGCCTGTCTTTGGGTCGTATCTTGGTGAAGGCTTTTCATGTGGTTTTGAGAATGTACACAGGTGAGGTAGAAGTAATGCCAACCACCCAGGCTCTATTGCTATTACACCTATAGAATAAATAAATTAACATTTAGAAATTAAATTTGTATTGCAACATAAAGATAATAAGTTATGAAGCACAAGCACCAATTACCTCTCATATATGCCTTGGATGTTTCAATTATCTCCTGATAAACAACAAACTTGGGCAATTTACTGAATAGAACAGAATCAGGATGGATGTAAACAGCGCCCTCTATACCAACACACTGATATGCATTCTTTGCTTCACGTTCTTGAGAATCAGGCATGAGTCTTTGGAAATAGAGAACAATAACAAATTGAAAAAGTTTGGAAGTTGCATGTTACTATGGTTTCTATGCTACTCAACAAAAAGCTAACTGAACCCATAACACCACCCCAAAGTGGTTCCAAAATGGCCTCAAATTAGAATGTGAAATCTAATCTTTCAAATTACCCTGTAAAGAACAAATACACTTAGAATATCAAGATTCCATTGTAAAATTAAAATCATAAATAGAAGTCATTTGTGTGTAAAACAATTAATAAAAGCTTACCTAGCAACATGGTTTCCAAGCCCTGACAATACTATTTCACGTAACATTTTCACCTAGATATTAAAAAAAATATATATCCGAATATAATTGTATATATTATATTATTGTAAGAATGGATTATTTGTTTTCTCTTCTATGTTACACAAATCCATGATGCATTCCACATGCCGATAAAGTGGGAGCGGTTGGTGCAGGGGTTACCTTTCTGTCCCTCAACAACGAGGTCGGGGGTTCACACCTTTGCTGTGCATTCCGCTTGTGTTCTTGGACAAGGCTATTTACCTATGTTTGTCTTTCTCCAACCAGGAGTATAAATGGATACCCGGTTCACTACTGGGGAAAAAGGCGGCGTGGAAAGGAACTGGCCACCCTACAACACAACGCTGAGGCTTAGTACGATGGGCTAACAGCTCATACCACTACGTTCAGTAACGAATATGGGACTACCTTTACCTTCAATACTACAAATTGAAAATTTACAGAATCATTTCCATCCTACTATTGGCAAATTCATGTTCATAAAAATATATGACATAAAAAAGGGATGCTTCTCTGAAAAATACTCTACTAACCTGCAAGTCTGTTGGTGGGTTCATCTTCGGGTCAACAAACACCCCGCACTCCGGACTGACAGCATTTACTAACAATAAGAAAGAAGAACTATTTTAATCACCATTAGAATTTAATAGTAATGTTTTGTTTTTTATCATAGTGAATAATATTGAAGAAAGCAAGAGGAATCTTTACCAGCATTGGTGAGGAGCCGTCGTAGTTTACGAATTTCCACCATTGCTTTATATCTTAGACTGTGAGCCTGGCAGAAGCCAGCTGTACACCCAGCGTACTCTGTCGCCCCTACAGCACCCAGCAACACCATCAGGTCTCCAAATTCTGCAGCGGATCCCTACAGTGAAAATACAGAATTCAAAACAAACATTCAATTCAACTTTTATTTCTTTCCCATCAATTTTGCCAATAAATAATAAACATATATAGGCACCTCTTGACAACATGTCATTGTACAACAGTTTTTTTTTTGTCCAATAAAATTTCATAGTCTGAACAAATCTTCTGATAAAGATGTGGAGTTGTTTTTAGGCTCTTTTAGGAAATGTTACGCATACCCCTGGTATAACACAAGCATCTTAGCCTTAGCAACCCACTCCACTTAGAACTAAAGGTAAGCATAATACAATACAAGCACATAAAACCGAAAGGTCCACTGATTAATCTCAGATAAGAAAGTATATTACATACTCCACGTAATTGATGTCGAAATATTGAATCCGAACACTAAGGCATGTATTTCAATACTTGGAGTATGTATTATACTTTCATACCAGTGTATTATATATGGAACAAAAATTAATTGTTAGAGTTACTCACCTTTCCTGCCCATATTTTTTTATAATGTGATGACTTGGCCCTCTTCATTTTCAATGCTTCATTCTAAAATCAGATAATTTTTAGAATTAGCTATCACAACAATATACATCTTATAGTGGCGGATCCAGGAATTCAAAATTAGAGGGGGCCCAGGTAGGGACTTGACAGATTGAGAGTCTAGACCACCTCAGGCCCACTATGCTTGGGGCTGAGGTAAGAAAATTTATGATTATGGCACCTGGCGCCAGAAATAATTATGAAAAATTTAGGGGCTCCCGGCTGGCTCGGGGCCCCCGCCACCACTTTCTTGAATCCGCCACTGTCTTATCTTTGTTTGGTAATATAAAAATTTGACATAACTCTTCTCATGATAAGGCTGAAATGACCATTTCATGAACTTTGACCTACCCCTTCTCCAGATTCCCCAGCTCCTACATTTCCTTCAAAGATTTCCTAAAAAAAATAATCAAAAAATTTAACATTACTCAATCATAATTCTCATGTTGTTATTTTCCTATTCAGCATGTATACCACTGGAGCTACACACAAGGCACAAGGTGAAGACCAGGAAGCACACAGAAATGAAGAATGGAGAAACTGGTACATACAGTAGCAGTGCAAGGTACAAGTGGATTATGGTAATAAATTAATACGCAAGATCTGTCCAGACTATCAAATATTGTGTGACATCCCTAAATATGGTCATGATGACATCACATCACGTCCATATATAGGCACATCATGACTATATATGGGCATACACCAGCTATTTATCTAAGAAAACTTGAGTCTGGACAAAGCTTAACATTCAGAAAATTTAGTTCTAAACATGTTTCCCAACTAATAATACCACCATGCTCAGTGAAAATGGCAGTTCTTACCCTGACTGTTAAAGCTGCGACTAATGCAATGATGTAGGGTAGACACCCCTGCTGTTGGCCTAGGGAGATCATCTTGGCATAGCAAGGAGCTACTGGAAAGGCAGCCATTGCTTTACCAAGCGGTGTTATCTTGCAAGTGAATGTTTCTGAAAATAAAACACATTTTTCAGCAATTTAGACAACAATTCATTCATTCATTTATTTATAACTGCTATTAACTTAAACTTCTTACCCCATACTACAAACAAATTAAACATTCCTTTCTAATAAGAATGACATAATAAACAAAATAGTACAAAACATGACATAAAAGCTAGTGCAGTTTCCTTTCAACATTCAGTATTGAAACATTAATTATTTAATAAGACAAATACAAATACAAATCTTTGATTTAAAGATTAAAGTATGTATATTCCTTTTTCATTTATGTTGATGTTTAAACATCGATATCATGGCTTAGATATTCTGTAATAACAAAATGACGGTCGCAATCAATTACCTTTGTCAGAAAGACGTACTGGTTTCACTGGCTGTTCAAGAGCACCAAGCATAATCAGATGTCGTTCGGCAGCCTAGAATATAAATGGTTTCAGATAATAAGTAGAGAGATTGACGACAAACGAGAAGGGGAGACAGAGGAGACAACAGGAGAGTAGGAGAAAACAGGATAGAGGGGATGAGGACTATGGTGAAGGGAGTGCACTTGGCATAGACCTGCCACATAGAGGATGCACTGCTGGCTTCCTAGGCGTAACTTTTTCACTTTCACGTAAAGAGCAAATACGTGGTTTGCCAGTGTAGAATTTACAGATTCCAGAGTCTGCCTATCCCATATATTTTTGAGGGGTTTTCTTACTTTAATAGAGAATTGACAATACTGAAGTTAGTTTGTCTAATTATATACACAAATTTTTGTTGAAAACATGTTGGCAAAAAAAAAAGTTACCTTCATGGCTTCCAATTCTGGTGGAGTGGGGAAGGGAAAATTGACAACCTTATCAATTCCCATATCCTGTAAAACAAAAGTCAATGATAAAGTGATAAAAGAATATACATCACAGGAGGAAAT